ATCATACTTTTGTATAAAAACTCTATCATGTATGCTATAGTTCTCCAGTTCAAATATTGACTGAGATTACCCCTTTTGTGTTTAAGCCCCTTTGCTTGCTCCAATACTCTTGAAGATGTCATCAGCCAGCCATGACTCTTATCCCCATGACCCTTAGCACTTTGGCCTTCCAGTTTATTCAGCTAAGTATCATCTTCAGTCTAGAAAATCATACTACTTGCTCTTCTGAAATACTGGAGTACCCTAATAGTTCATGTGAGAGTGTAACACATAAGTTGAAGCCAAGCTTCACATGTTTTGTAGAGCTGGACCTCCCAGTTGAGTATGAAATACCTGTGGGCCCTCCAACTTTATTTCCCCCTTTGTCTTTAAACCTTAGATCTTATCAGTAGGGATAAGAGTTGTGGCTGGCCAACAATGTTTTCAAGAGTATTAGGAGCAAGCAAAAGGGGCTTAAACACAAGAGGGTAATCTAAGTTGATATTTGAACTGAAGAACTATAGCATACATGATAGGGTTTTTATACAAATATACAAAAGTGATCAGAGGGTGATTTAAGGAAGTGAGGAGTTGTGACAGGCCAAGGGAGGTGGGAAATCAAACAAGATCAAACAAAGACTAAATGTGATGCAACACAAGTATTTTAAAGGTTGTGAGGTGGTAAATAAAGCATACACATAGAATGGGTAACAGGAGAGCATTGGAACAGAAATGGCCAAAGAGGTAATACACAGAGGAACAGGTATCAGGGCACTGCAGGTGATGACACTGTGGTCAGGGATACCAATAGAGGGGTGCCAGAGGGCCAGAGGGTTACAAGGGTAAAACCAAGTTGTGGGAGTCTGAAATGATAGGATCCTAACACCTTTTGCCAAATCTGAATGATGGGGGGGCATATTTGGTCTCTCTTCTGTATGATTTGCATAATGAGAGAACTGTAATATTTGTGTCTATGACCTGGTAGTCAAAACAGGCACTAGTGGAATATAACAAATTCAAGTAATGCAAAATAAAATCATTGCCTCTTGTCTTCACTCCCAATGTCCCCACCACTCTTCCTACCAAGCCTTAGTTATGAGGACAATGTCAAAAAACTTTGCTGACAACTGTGGGAGGCTGAGGAGTGGCAATGATTATGACTCAAATGGGAGGCCACTGAGAAAAAGCAAAAGGAGGAGGAGGGTTGTCAGGCAGCATTGGCAGTGAAGAGGAAGGCCACTAATGACATGAAGGGCAAGGGAAAGGGAAAGGGAAAAAGGCCAGTGGGGGCAGCCAAGGTGCATTCCCATCTTCCTCTTTGTTTGTCCCTTACTGATGTTAATCAACCACATCTGGCAGGTGAATGTCTCCACTTGCTTTTAGTTTCATCTCCACACAGCCACCATTGACGATATTAGAAAAAAGTGGTTGGTACTTGTGAATCCCTGTTGTTCAGACCCCTGCAAGCTGTTTTAGCGTCATAACCCTCTGGCATCCCACTATCAGTACCCCCACTCATGGTAGCACTGCTTGTGGTGCCCCTGACACTTGTTTTTTTGTATCTTAGTACCTTAGCCTTCCATCCTGTCTCCATTCCATTCACTCCCCCATCACCATTTGTGAAGAGTGGTGGAAGTTCTAACCATTCTATATACGAAGAATATTGACCGTTTAGGTATGACACATAGTTGTATTGACTGTCTAAGTCTAATACACACTGAACGAGTATTGACTATTTAGTTCAATATGTCTGAGTGAAGTAACTATCTAAGGTAGAGTAGATAGCTAAAACGAATAAAGGGAATCGACTGTTAGGTGCAATTCCAAATGACTGCTCGAGTGTAGAAAAGAATAATGAGAGTCGAATAATAGAGTAGCACGGATGTGGTCTGCGCAGATTGAGATATAAGTGGAGTTTCGACTGGCACAGTTCGAAACTCTGATTGTGTAGATAGTTGAAGCCCATCTGTGACAGTCGAGACGATACCCCAATCACAACTTACAGGACACTAACTGTGTGTCTGGGTAAGTTGTGGTTGTGGGGTAAAAAGTGTCTGAGTTCTAATTACGGGCACTAGAATACATGAGTCTAGCATGTATGCGCCCACAAGAGTTGATGTACCACATTCATAGGTCGTTGAACTAATATAAGTGTATAATAGAATAGAGAGAAAGAAGAAATAATAATGGGAATATAGTATGGGCTTATCCAGACTATATTTCCCGAGCATATTTCACCATACCTCTCACACCATTCCACATACAATTTGCCACCTCACACCTTTTCAGAATATTTTGCTATATTGTATTTAGTCTCATTTGGATCCCATTTCTTTCTCTACTTCCTTTTGACCCATCATCTGTATACATAAAAAATGGAAAGAAAATGTGTGGAAGAAGAAGATGAGGAAGATGATGATGATGATGAGGTTGAGGGGGTTGGAGACCCTGAACAGTAAGTCCTTTTATTACTATTATTATTTTTGATACTGATGTGACTTCAGGAAGGTTCCAGTTTTGGGGGGTCCATCATATGTGGGATGCACAGTGGCAGGCATCCAATGCACTCCCATAGGCTTCAATAGGACCTGTGTGCAGTGTAATAGGAGCAAGAAGGGGTGTGCTTTGCAACAGCATCATTGGAGTCAGTGGTGGAGCCCTTGAGAGAGATCAGGAAAAGCTTGAAGGGGATTTTAGATGTGCTGGAATGTAGTGGCTTATCACTGTCATTGGTAAGAGGTCCAGTGGTCCATTGAGGAGAGCAAACAGGAACCAGGTGTCAGTTGAGGAGAGCCAAAGTATTTTACTTAGTGGTTGAGAGGAAAAGCAGAAGTAGATCTAGAGGTGAGGAGGAAAGGGATGCCTCAAATTGATACTCTAGATTAGAAAGTATTAATTGTAAATCATCAAGACTTAAAAAGACAAAATGTGTCAGTATAAAAAAAATGAGAAAGTCAGAGGTCTGAACAAGAGAAAGCTAAAAAAAGAGAAAAAGAGACATGGGGCAATAAGGAGTAATGGTAATGGATCCAGGGGTATTGGGGTGCTGAAGGCAGAGATCCAAAATAGAAAAGAGGATAACAGGAGAGATGTCATTCTTGAGTTTTTGAGTTTTATCAGGCATCTGACAGTGCTTGCCTATGATGACTAGGAATGAGTGACTGGCAAATATCAGGGTTCTGATATGCTGGTTGTTGGGTGCATTATGACTGGTTTTCTCTTAAGGCAGACATCCCATTGTCTAGCCACAAGTCAGTGTCCCAAGAAAATAGCACATGTAGGGTTCAAGAGAAGTAGAGGGAGTATGGGAATAGCCAAAAAAGAAAAGAAAAGAGTCTGAAGTGTTCAGCATGCTGTTTACTGAGGGTTACATGAAGTCATGAGATTTCATCAGAATGCCATTATTAACAGTTGCTTCTAAAAAGAGTAGTCACATGCATGGAGGTACTGGATTGGTGGGTGTTCAGTAAAGCTCTAAAAGTAGTTCACATACACAGGGCACTGAACTGAGAGTGTCCAGAAATACCTTAAAGATGGGTGGCCAGTGGAGCCTCTGCACCCTGGCCAAGCTAAAGAGAAGGAAATTGACTGTTGGGAGGCCAGACTATATGATAACCCAATACCCAACAATCAACAGATTGTAAGTGGGTGGGTTAGTCATGTCCAAGGATGACCAAAAATCAAAACACCAACCTACTGTATGTCAAAAAATGACCTAAAGTGTTTTCTTGCAGAACAGGTGACTGGAAAGGCCTTTTGGAGTTCACAATATTGTTGACAATGTTGTCCAAGTGTTCAGAGGGAAACCAGATCAACTGGTAGTGTTGGAGCTGAAAGAAAAAGAAAATCTGAAGAATTCTAAAACAAAAAGTAACTTGAAGACCTAAAAGAGTGGATGCATTGCAGAAAGAGTTGGCCACTATTGCATGGGGGAATCCAATGTGATCCTTAATGAGTGTGGGGGCCCAAGGGTTAGCTTACACTGTTTTTGACTTGGTCACCAATGTCAGCATGTCCAAAGGCTTTCAGGCTTAGCAGTGTGAGCTTTGCTAGTGTTGTTCAGTGGACATTGGTGTGCCATATGTCCTGGGGTGCTGCACTAGAGGCAGAGGTCATTATCCTTTCATTGCTGTCTTCCCTCAGGGGTCAGTTTACCATCAGCACCAAGCTTGGTACTTGGATCATCTTTCAGCTTGGCTGCAGAGGTACTGATATTATTATTAGAGGCTGCAGCATCATTGAGGGTCGAGTCAGTCCTTTTTTTCTTTTTAGACTAAGGAGTGGTCACCATTGATATTGTTTTTGTTTGATGAAGATCCATGTTCATTGTCTTGATTGTTCTTTGCTGTGTGGTCTGAAGGCATTTTATGACTGATTTCAGTATGCCACTCCCAATAGTGAGCATTGCATTATTGAGCTTTCATGTGCATATCAATGAGCATAGTCAGCTTGCTGTCACCACAACAAATGTCATCCTTAAGATAAGATGGAAGGCCAGAATAAAACTTATGGCATAGGGCAGACCCCAATTGATGAGTGTGGCAAGGGAGTTAAACTGGACAATATACTCAGTGATCTGCTGGCCACCCTTCATCTTAATGCTGGCCAAGGTGGTTTCAGCATTGCCGACAACATCATGAGGTCCAAAGTTAAGTTTGAGTTCTGTAACAAAAAAAATGCATAGTTGTTGAGCCAGCCAGGTTGGTATGCATTGAGATTATTGAGTGCTGGTTTGAACCAGTTCATGGTGGAGCTCCCAAAGGAAGATAGAGTGAATATTCCCTTTCTTCTGTTGGTGGCAAATTTATCAGGGCAGTCATTGAAGTTCAGGTTGCATTGCATGAGGAATGGCCACAACTTTGAAGTGTCAGTTCCATGAAAAATGTCAGGTTCCCTTGGCATGCCTGTGTTAGAATTGGAAATACAATATTTATATTAGTCAGACTGTTATAAGTCCCAGAGTAGCATCAGGAGAGGGATAGATATATATATATAATCCATCATATAACACTAGACCATAAGGTCCAGTAGCTCAGTGGTAAAGAGCACTTGCATATATAGCCAGGAGGTCCTTGGTTCAATCCCAGGCTCAGTCAATTCTTTTCTATACCTTTAACAGCCAGGTGGTGAGCCCTTTTGAGTGCTGTCCTAAGACAAGGTTCAGGGATTGCTGTGGAACTGTGAGATGCACCTGCCAAACTATTGCCAGAGTAATGAGAACTGTGATTTGAGCTAGGGTGTGAGCTGTGGTGTGAACTCAGAGCTCCACCACCTGGAATACCGTGATAAGAGCTGGGTACAAGCTATGGTGAGAACTATGATGGGAACTCAGAGGTCTGCCACCAAACCTGTGGTGAGAACTAGGAGGACTGCTACTGTGAGAGCTAGATAGGCTGCTGCTGGGATGACTACTGTGATATGAGCTGTTGTGGATTGTGTGAATTGACACAGGAGGTGGTGAGAAGTGCTGAAAAATGCTACCACCAGGGCTCAGGGGAACTGGGAGGGGCCTTGGTGGGCTCAGCCAGAGTCTGAGTGTCAGAGACATAGTCTGGAAGTGATGTCAGTGGTGATCTGACATACAGTGACTCAAAAAACTGTCCCAATGTTTTCTCATTTTTGAAAGGTTGGGTTGGCATGGATTACTGACATAAGCAGAAAATCTAAGTAAATTATCAAAGGTACTATAGGATCATGGCTTGAAGGTAAGCCTTGGTTCATGTGATTTGAATCAAAACCCATTGAATAATAAATAAAACAAAACAGCTACTCATTGGGACAGTTTTTTGACCTATGTATGCCCCCCTTTTTCCTTTATAACTGCCCTGATCCTTCTAGGCATACTTTCTATTAGATCTTGGCAGACTTCTGGTTGGATTGCATTCCACTCCTCCACCACTCTCTCCCACAATTCATATACTCCCTTGGGTGATGTATTATATTTTTGAAGTTAGCATTTGAGGTGTTCCCAAAGATGTTCTATGGGGTTAAGATCAGGGGATTGGGGAGGCCAGGATAGTACTTGAATTTCCTTGTCCTCAAACCATTTTGTTGCCTGCCAAGATGTATGTTTAGGATCATTGTCCTGCTGAAAGTAATGGTTGGCCTCCTCCATTTCCAACTTTTCAAAACTTTCCACTACTACCAGCTCCAAAATTTGACAGTATTGTTCAGCATCCATCCTCCCCTGCACTTCTATGAGCTTTCCCACCCCATACAACCCCATACCATAAGGTTATTTCCTCCTCCATGTTTGACCGTTGGTGTTGTAGTCCTGTCAGACACTGGTTCTCCTCTTTGTTTCCACACATATGACTTTCCATCTGCCAATCCTGTTAATCTCAGTCTCATCTGACCATAAGACCCTCTTCCAGTCCTCCACAGTCCAATTTTCATGATATTGGGCAAATTTGAGCCACTTCTGATGATGAATGGCTTTGAGCAATAGTCACTTTTGCTTTGTTGCAGAGTAAAAACCATTCTCCTTCAGTATATTTCTGACTGTTTGGGGAGTGACAGGGTCAGAGATGATAGAATTAATGAATTAGGTAGCCTGAACTGCATTATCAAGCTGTCCAGAGCTGATTTGATGGATTATTGACTGCTTGTCACAACCAGAAAGCTTGGAAGGATGCCCCCCAGGATTGTTCTCCTTGTTCCCATCCACTTCCCTACTAATCCTATTCACAGTACTCTTGCCTAGACAAGTTTGTTCCTGGATTTGGTGATAAGAATAGCCTTCATTGAGGAGAGAGATAATAGAAGAGTGTGGAGCAGCAGAAATAGATCTCATGATGGTGGTAAGAAGTCAGGATGTAGTTGAACCACTTTAAACCTGTCAAACAAATACAAACAAAGTCATGTGACATGTTTTATTGTTCCCATGGCCTCCCTATGCCTTGTACTTACACTGAGCAACAATAAAACACATTGCAGATGCTGACAATATGCTATTCCGCTTTTGTTCAAATTCTTTTATTTAGAATCTTTTTTTGTCCAATATTTTCCACTGTCTAAAATCATTTATAAGTATGCATTAAATGTAGAAGGTACCTCAGTCAATTCCACTATATTGTGACAACTGAGTTATATTCTGTTATAGTTCTAACAGCTAGGGAATCTACATAATGGGTGCAGACATTCCCAAATCCCTGATGTGAGCTGAAGCCAAGTCCTATCTGTCCTCTGCATACCATCAGATTGCCCAAAGCCCCTACAATGTTAGGATTCTGTCATTTCAGACCCCTGCAACTTGTTTCTTACTAGAAAACCCTCATCTTCTCATTGGAGCCCCCACCCACCATTACCCTTTGTGGTGCCCCTGATACTTGTTTATAGTACACTCCCAACCCATTCCATCTACTCCACCTGTTCCTCCATTTCTGTCTCCATATATACTCTTATTTGCCACTAGTATTGTTTCTTAGTATTATACATTAGTTTCTATATCTCCCCACCTTGTCCTCACTTCCCTGTGATCTGTCCTATACTTCACTTTGTTGATTGGCCTTCCAATCACCCATCTTGATGTAGTATAAAGTTCTTTTCATGTACATACACTATAGTTCTGGAGTTTGAATATCAACTTAGATTAGCCTCTCTTAGTTCTTTCACCTTTCCCTCTTCACTGCATTCATAGTAGTGGTCTTCAGCAAGCTGTTGTTAAGTGCTGTGTCAGAACTTATTCCAGAACTATTGGAAAGTCACTGGGAACTCGGAAACTATCAGATAGGGTCAGGACGCCAGCTTCAGCTTATGTGCTGCACCTCTACGCAAACACCTGGGAGTCCTTAATTTCAAAGACAGGAATTACGCTGGAAGTTATGGATATTCAGAGTTCCAGAGAGTTCCAAATATTGAGCATACAGAAAGATGGAAGAGGGAATCAGACACTAAGTTGATATCAGATCTGAAGTAAAGTACAAATTCGTGGAAACTAATATAAGTTTTCTTGTTATTGTACTACAAACTAAGACCACAATAAGATGGAAATGGGAGTATTCCAAAATGGGAATACAAACGAGTGAATACTTGTCAATGGACAAGTTACCAAATGTGGAACAAGGGGAAGATTATGGAAGATGCGGGAACTATGATGTTCCGTGGTTGGAAGTTGGGGGTCAGATATTGAAGTATCTGGGAATGGGTCCATAACAGTACTCCCCTGTTAGGCTGAAGTCCCATAAAGGTGGTTAGGTACTGAGTGTTGAAGTGATGGTTGATGGTTATGTGTCATGAAATTTACACAATCCTGGAAGTGAGAGTTTTGGCTGCTAGTCTGAGTATAAAAACTTCCCAATTTTCAAATTAATGATTTTGTTTCTTTAACCACAACATGCATGTTGATTCATTCACCATTATTTGCCAATACCCCAGAAGATTCAGATGCTGAAACTGCTGTACTTGAAAAAATGTCAAAGGTCGAAGAACTTCAATGAAAACGACAAAGGATGGAGGAGTTGAAAAGGCAACAAGAGGAGGAGGAGAGAGAATTGATGCAGGATTTGAAGGAGGCAGAAGAGGCAGAAAAATGTGAGTTGGAGCAGGTGAAGGCAGAAAAAGTAGTGGAGGAAAAAAGGAAGGCATGTTGTGGAAAGTGATGGAGGATTGGAAGTCGAGGGAAGAAGTGGAGTAAAAGCAGCAGGATGCCAAGGCAGCATAAAATTGAGTGAGGGAGATAAGGGAGGGAAAGGTAAGTGAAATGACAATGTTCCATGTTTCTCTGATAATGATTGAATGCAGTGAAAAGCTGAGGTGGTGGAAGTGGAGGGAGAGGCTGGGCCTTCAAGTCCTAAAGTAAGTGATTCTGTAAAAGCTCGGGACATGACTAATTTCCAAAACAGAAACAAAAGGTCAAAGCTCCAGAACAGATGGAAACTGTCCACAATAATCCATGTTATTGGTGCTCGATTTGGAACTTGACTTGTTGGAAGCAGAAGGTAAAATGGGACAGAACCTGCTACCCTTGCACAGTACTCAAACTTCTGTGCACTCTCGCCATGAAGAGGGCTCTGAAAGGTGCAAAGACTCAGAAAATTGATGACATGGAAATTTTGGGAATGGCCAAGACTGTGGAGGCTGAGGTACCGAATATGGACAGTTCTAGCATCAGACTTCTCAAAGACACTGTGGATGTGTTGGTGTTTATCAGGACAGAACTGATGAAGATGTGGGATGCTCTGGAGCACCATAATGAGATCCAAGAACCAGGTTTCCAGTCATTGATCTGGAATTTCTGGAGGCAGAATGAATTCCTGGAGAAGGTGATGGTCAGCATTGGCATTATTGGAGTTTCCAAAAGGTTTGCTGATAAGACAAGGGACCAGCCAAATGATCCATTGGCAGAATGTGTGGAGAAAAGGTGGGAGTCAGGAAAGGGGCCAGAAAATGAAGATGATGAAGTGCAGGATATGGTGGAAAGTGAGGAGGTTGCAGATGATATGGGAGTTGAAGCGGAAGGAAGATTTGGTGTCAGAAACTTTACAATAGTTGCAATAATATTTTTATTATTTTTAACTTGCATAATTTTGAAGAATGAGTGTCAGATCAGAAGTGTCAGAAAATAAACAGAAAGAGAACAGACAAAAAAGTCAGTGACAATAAAGGTCTGGGTTTACTAGGATATGCAGTGTGGAAGTCAGTTACAATTTCTGTAGTGTGTCCAAGTTCTGTGGCCAATATCCATGAAGTTCCATCATTAGTACCTTCATAGCCTGCCCATTTGACCAAATAGAGCAATTTACAAGTATGTTGGCAATTGTTGATTTTAGAATCCAAAATCTCAGAAACTTCAAATTCAGGTTCTCTGTCAATGATGACTGGAGGAGGCAGAGGTTGAGTATGTTCCAGGATATTGTTAGGAACACAAGGTTCTAACATGGAAATGTGGAAAACGGGGTGAACTGCTCACATACTATCGGAAAGTTGGAGAGTCCAGGAAAGTGAGCCGGCTTGTGCTATAATTTCAAAAGGGCCTCAGAATTTCTCAGCAAGTTTTTCAGAAGGTTGGGTAGTTCAGAAGAATTGAGCTTTTACAAAAACCTGATCCCCAATTTTAAAGTTAGGAGGCAGGATCCTGTTTTTATCCATGGAATGC